TAGAGATTAAAAAAAATGGTGTAAATTTCATAAAATATATATTTATATTAAAGTATATGCATAAATTTTAATAAATGACGGCATAGCGTAGTGAATAAGCGAGTATATTAAACATTTGCAATAAAAACTTAAAACAAAACACATGAAATTTATATAAATAAAATGTAAATGCTATTGTCATTTGTACCGAGGTTACTACCTTTACCTGAAATATAAGAGTAGCACATGACTTAGTATTTTAAGAATTAGTTTTAAGTGACCCAACTATTAGGGTTATGAAATGCAGTCACATGCAACACGTTGGGACCTATCATTCAAAACATCATTTTATTCTCTTAGGCGACTTTCTAATTCAGGCTAAATTAGATGTGTAATACTTTTCTACATATGGACCACACATGCGAATGTAGACCCACCAAGAGGGCTGGCACGCCTCCTAGACCTACTAGTTGGGTTAGCACTCTCTAACGGACGGTTGCTGCACACTCGAAGGGATTAGTGGTCGTCGTAGCATTATGACAAACATGATGGTAACAATCAGTCTCATGGTGTACACGTTTGTACTCATCATAATGGAGAAGTATCTCGATGCGCGTGAACACACAGTTATGCATCAAGTCCCCATACTTTCCTTCACGGTATGATAAGTGGGAATTCAAAAGTAAAAGTATAAAAATATATACTTACATTAAAGTATATACTTAAACTTTTAAAAAATGACCGCATAGCGTAGTGGATTAGCGTGTCTGACTTCGAATCAGACTCCTGTTGTAGTTGTTGACTTAAACTTTATGTCCTCATTTAGAGAATTGTGTCCATACATGATTTGATTATTGGATAGCTCGATGCTAAAACTAATATCACAATACTTTTGAAAGTGACCAAGCTTTTCCAATACTCTCATCATCCACACTCCTTGTCTTGCCACAAACTCCTACTTCAGTTAGACAAAGAAACTACATGTGTTTTTTTTATAGATCTTCCCGACATGTTTTTTTTTTCTAGGATCTTAAGTTGGACAAAGAAACTACATGTTTTTTTCTAGGATCAAGACACAATTCCTTCATGGGGTGGGTACACATAACCAATAGTACTTTGCATGTCAATATATGCTATTAACACTCAAATATCTAATTTCTCTATAAGTACTAGTTGGGAAAGAATAAAATTGAAAGCAAGTTGTCTACTTAGAGTGTTGAAAGTGATCTAAGAGTGTTTATTTTTAATTTTTTTTTTAAAATTTAAGAATACTTAACTATTTTTAAATTAAGCTCCTCAATGATTTTTTTTTTTTTAATTTATAATAATTAACTATTTTATTATTAAGAAAATTCGGTTGGTGTGGTGTAGTGGTTATCACGTTAGTCTTACACACCAAAGATCTCCAGTTTGATTTTGGGCAACATCTTTGTATACATTTTTTACCTTCCAAACTGGGGACCCTTAGTATAAGATTGAGATAGGTCCCGTGATTGCATTTTGCATGGTCCTATATGGGGTCATTTATTTTTATTTTTAAAATGTTAGCAGCGACTTGAGTAAGTAGAAATTTAGAGTGTTAAATACCTCGTTGGTACTCTAGTGTTACAATGATACTCTCATAGTCAACCACATATTTTTCAATATTAGAATAATAACCTTGCATGTTACATATAATGGATAATATTAAATTACAACTAAAATAATAAAAATATATTATTAAATATTAAATAATTATTACGAGGTTTTAACTCATAAATCTCAACACTTATGAGTGAGGTTAATGTTATAGGTAATTTTTGGTCGAAGTAACTAGCCCAAAAAAGAAAGAAAAATAAGTGAGAAACTTAAATGAGTTTCGTAATTAATTATTTAATTTTTAATAATAATTTTCATTATTTTATTTGTAATTTTATATTATCCATGGTATGAAAAACCAAGATTATTAATGTAATCTTGAATAGTATGTGATTGACGTTTAAAATGATCATATTCAAGTAATAATCTAAAGGGTCTATAGTATATGCACAAAGTTGACTGTCTTGTCTTGGAAACACTATTGATACAACTTTGTAATTGCTATAAATGATTTGATCTAAATCGTTCACGTGGGACATGTGTAGGGGTATCCTATACAATGAATTTGCATAAGACTGAATTCAAAATATTTAAGATCTCTCTATGGATCTGTTAATTGAGAAAATTAATATTTCACATGTTAATCATATGCGATTCAATCTTAATCTGAATGAGTTATAATTTATACGTGTGAGGGCTTATCTTTGGATTTGCAAGGGTGAGAATGACTTTTGTAGTTGATTCAATATGACAACCACATCAGGAACTTGATATCAAGAGAGTCAATATGACAACCACATTAGGAACTTGATATCAGGAGAGTTTATTTCTTTTCATATAAGGAAAGCGGATGAGTGAGGCCCACCCTCTTAATTGTTCGAGAGGAACTTGATTTATGACTAGATCATAAACAAGTTATTCATTAGAGTATATTGGTACTTGAGATTAAAGATCTAATTACAAGAGTAAAACGAACTTTTAACTCAGCTGTAGTTACGAACAACTTCTGAAGAATCGACTAGCTTGTAAGGATTATATCAATGAATACAACGAGCTTATAATCGGAAGGTCAATAAGGTCCCCAAACTAGCTCATATAAACACTAAATTCAATTTAGTTGAAAGAACAATTTGAAGGGTTCATGTAACGTCCCATTAGGTTAAAAAATAATAAAATAAAATAATAATAATAATAATAACTTGTGTGGTCGCTAAGAAACGCGTGAGCACCAGAGAACTCATGCCTCCAACGAACTCACGACCATGCCTGAAGTTCTACACTTCAGCAAACCCTCAGATCTCGCCTATAAGAAAAGGAGACACGAAATACAAAGAGAAAAGGATGGATGACGAACGATTTTGTCTCGTCGAACATAAACGTCGACGTAACAGAGACCTTCGATCTGGCAAACGAAAGATGAGTAAACACGCAGAGGATTAACATGACCATTGTTTTGAAAAGATGGAGGGCAAGCTCAACAGGTTTAGTATGGTTCCAGAATGTGTAACAATAGCGCCGACAAGGATGGGTTTAAGAAAAACGATAACTTTGAGAAATCTCACATTTTTGTTGCAAGTAGTTCAGGTATTACAACGACATGGAAGAGAGGACTAACGAGCCAAGGAACTCCTTGATGCACACGAGCGATCACCACCAAAACAGTGTTGTTGCTTCGCCGGCCAAAAGGATGAACTAATTGTCAATACAACTCTCCCTGTTCGAGTGCATAACAATATGGTAATATTTTTTGCTTTTAAGCTAAAGGATAAATAGACATTAAAAGTAAATACATTAAACAAAAATAAGTGAACTATACATGTGTGCATGTATAATTTTAAATACAAAACAGGGTGTATAAAAAAGTCATGAACAAGTAAATACATGATTCGGGTCGAGGGTCTCCTACACAATTGCACAACCAGACACATTCTTACCACGATCAGTGTACTCCACTTGCCACTTGAAAAAGAAAAGTGTAGCAAGAGTGAGTATTAAAAATACTCCGTAAGCAACGTACTTGCTATCGTCAAACTTATTCTAATACACAAAATTTGAAGTTATGTGCGCATATGGCCACAAGAATTAACCAAAACTATGACTTATGGTCCATGCTAACTGTTTCAAGTTCTTATGTACCTAAACTTTATACATTCTTACTTTAGGGAGTGCTCTAACCACCTCAGAATCCATGAATAAAGGTTGTTGGGTACTCTTAGCTCTATGTTTACATTTACCTAGGTCCATGATCAACCTTTTGCTAATTACGCCTTAAGTCATTGCGTCAAATGAGAAAGACCATAAGTATGGAGGAGCCCATTTGCTCTTAAAACGATAACCGTACTCCACATGTCTGCCTACTTGACTAAATGGAAGGTTCTCCTTGGTGATGTCGAGTGTCACAACCTCACTATGAAGACAGTAGGTTGTGACCCCCCACATGGCTAAACAAGGTGGCAACCTTCAAGTGGCACCCATCAGACCACGTGAGAGCTGAGATAGACAAGTGTCATGATGTAACTGAGGAGGAGGGTACATCATCCAACACACAAGAGTGTGTATTAAACCTAAGATGAGGCATAAGAAAGGCTGGAGAGAATGAGGAGATTGAGTGTCGAAGACAAGCTTGGAGAGGGTCACGTAGGGCCCCAGGCCATGACCTCAAAAGTTATAGTTCCGATAAGAGTTACGACATGCGGCTCTAGAGTTAAGTTTGCCTATATGAAAAATGAAAAGCTCACCAAATGTGGTGTCAATTGGATACTCGACGGACGCTCCACAGGGTCATATGATCGCTTGCCAAAAGAACGTATACTCCAGAAAGATTAGAAGTGTCTCAAAATGAACTACTGGGGGAGACATGGTGTTAGCTCTCTTCCACCCTTGGGCCCTATTGCCTAAGCAAGCTCTCTTGTGGCACATACATCTGTCACAACATGGACAAGTGTTGTGAGATGAGTATCTCGAGCGTCTTCCTCTAAAATGGATCTTTCAAGGACAGTGTCGGACAACATAGGTGTGTCAACATTTTTTCTCAACCCAGGTGTCGAAGGTTGGATTATGCACCTACTATCCATAACAGAGTCCGTAAATGACATGACAAAGACAGAGGAGAGTTTATGCCTCGATGAGAATATAGATGGATGGATATGCCCAAAAAAAATCGGTCAAAACCATAAATCATCATTCGAGTTTTGTATTCGAGTATCACATCGATTTGAATACAAAACCATTAATCATAATAACGTAATCATCATCTTATCTCAAGAAATTTTTTTCGATTGTGTGGAAGTTCAATCTTATTGAAAAATATTAATTATTATTAATTATTATCTTAAAAGTGCCGTTTATTAAGCTAAAAAAAATAATTAATTTACTACGTCTCTATTGTTTTTTTAAAAGCAAACATATTTAATTTTTTAGACACGTAACTGGATGAACGCAACTAGTCCAAGACAATTCGCATCGCATGGGGGCAGAGCTCCTGCGACCTTTATGCCTTCGATGCAATTCTTGGCGTCTCTCCGAATTCTAAGGCTCCATGGATTTCTCCACAAATTTTCCTTTCCACAACGATTATCAGTTTCTGCCTCAGCGGGATTTTTCTCCTCATCTCATTTCGATTCCATCTCTTCGCCGCACCGTGATTCTTCTTCTTCTTCATTGCAGTCTCCTGTGCAAACGATTTGTTCATTGGTCATCGAGTCTTATTTTCGCCAACCCCATCTGAGATTCTCTCCTTTTAAGCTGAATCTTGATGTGGATGCTGATTTTTTGACTCACGAGCAAGCCATTTCAGTCGTTGCTTCACTTGCTAGCGAGGAGGGTTCAATGATGGCGTTGAGTTTCTTTTACTGGGCAATCAGATTCCCTAAATTCCGCTATTTCATGCGGCTTTACATAGTTTGTACGATGTTATTGGTTGAGAAATGTAAACAGGAGCGAGCCGATGAAGTGGTGGAGTGTATGATAGGGGTTTTTGCAGAAATTGGGAAGTTGAAGGAGGCTGTGGATATGATCATTGACATGAGAAATCAGGGGCTTGTGTTGACCACCAGAGTAATGAATCGTATAATCATGGTGGCTGCTGAAATGGGGCTGCTCGAATATGCAGGCAACATGTTCGACGAAATGTCTGCAAGAGGTATGGCTCCTAATTCTTGCACTTACAAGTCTATAATTGTTGGTTACTGTAGATATGGCAATGTTTTGGACGTAGATAGGTGGATAAATGAGATGATGGAGAGAGGTTTTGTTGTTGATAATGCCACATTGACTTTGATTATTAATGCTTTTTGTAAAAAGGGCTTTGTAAGCAGAGCATTTTGGTTGTTTCATAAGGTTAAAAAGATGGGTTTATCACCAAATTTGATAAACTATTCATCTATGATTAGTGGGTTATGCAAGAGGGGTAGTGTTAAGCAAGCATTTGAATTATTGGAAGAAATGGTTAGAAATGGCTGGAAACCCAATGTGTATACCCACACATCATTAATCGATGGGCTTTGCAAGAAAGGGTGGACTGATAGAGCTTTTAGACTGTTTCTTAAGCTTGTTAGAAGTGATATTTACAAGCCAAATGTGTACACTTACACAGCCATGATAAGTGGGTATTGCAAAGAGGAGAAATTGAATAGAGCTGAAATGTTGTTTGAAAGAATGAAGGAACAAGGAATGGTTCCAAACACCAACACTTACACTACTCTCATTGATGGACATTGTAAGGCAGGGAATTTCAGTAGAGCCTATGAATTAATGGAGTTTATGTGTAATGAAGGTTTCTTCCCTAATATATGTACTTACAATGCAATGGTTGATGGTCTCTGTAAAAAAGGGAGAGTCGAAGAGGCTTTCAAATTGCTAAATAAAGGGTGTCGGAATCGAGTTGAAGCCGACGCTGTCACATACAACATTCTAATATCTGAACAGTGTAAACATGCCGATTTGAATCGAGCCCTTATGTTTTTAACTAAGATGCTTAAAGTTGGTTTCCAGCCTGATGTCCATTTGTATACCACTTTGATTTCTGCCTTCTGCAGGCAGAAAATGATGAACGATAGCGAAAAGTTGTTCGACGAAGTCGTTAAGCTTGGGTTCGTTCCGACAAAGGAAACTTACACATCCATGATATGTGGCTATTGTAGGGAAAGAAAAATTGGCTTAGCAGTCAAGTTTTTCCAGCGGATGAGTGACCATGGTTGTGCACCAGATAGCATTAGTTATGGTGCTTTAATCAGTGGTCTTTGCAAAGAGTCGAGGTTGGATGAGGCTCGACGATTATATGATGTCATGATAGACAATGGGCTGACTCCGTGCGAGGTTACTCGGGTGACCTTAGCTTATGAGTATTGCAAAACAGAAGAGTTCGCTTCAGCCATGGTTATCTTGGAACGGCTCGACAAGAAGCTTTGGATACACACGGTCCATACTCTAATACGCAAGCTTTGTAGCGAGAAGAAAGTCGGCATGGCAGCTCTTTTCTTTCATAAGTTACTTGATAAGGAAGTCAATGTCGATCGAGTGAGTTTGGCTGCATTCATGACTGCTTGTTGTGAGAGCAACAAATATGCTCTTGTTTCTGATTTGACGGAGAGAATATCAAAAGGTATTGGCTAACCAACTTCTGAACACTTGAATGATACATGATTTTGTTGGACTTAGAATCTCTTGATTTGATTTCTTTTATCATATCTCCTTCCCACTCATTTTTTTAGATTTCGAGTAAGTTTTTTGAGATCTATATACTTGAAAAGGTATCTTATTCGATCTTCTAAACTAAAAAAGCGTTGAAGTTGATTTTAGATTAAAAAAAAACTGAAGAAGATATTGAAAATGGGTCTCGAGCCATGGTGGGATAAGTTCGGAGGAGGAGAAAAAAAAAATAACATAAGAGAGTGGAAAGAAATTTTAGACATTTGATGTTTCTCTATACTAAATGACTCGACTACGTTCTTATAAGGGACATATACCATACATGTCAAGTGATTTTTCGTGCTTGTAAGGACATGTACCATACATGTCAAGTGATTCCTCGTGCTTTAAATCCTTTTTACACTCAATTTTTTTTTTTTTTTTTTGCTAACTTAAACAAGGGAGTTGGTGGAACAAAAACGTCATATTCTTTTCCCCTAATGAAAAGAATATAATTGTACATTATTCAAAGATAAATAATTTTCGTCTATTAGAAGCTTGTGATTGAGTTTTTGATGCAGCAAGTAGGGGCAGGGCAAACAATTCCTCATTGTTGGTACCAAAAAGAAGCGGATTCAGTAGCCCGGGCGATCTCGATTTAATGCCAGCCTGGAAGTGATTCGCCCAACAAGCCCATCACCGTATAACTTTATCCATCCATTCCCAGGCCAAAAATCCCCACTACTGCCATAGTCCATCTCTTAGATTCTTAGTCCCACTACCGCCAATAATTCCATCCATCACAGATTCATAGTCCCACAATTGCCAAAAGTAAGGCACCATCCACTGTGCACAAATACCGAAGGCTTAGTGGAACTTCCTTCAGCAGTGAGACCGACAGGTGAAGGATTGAATGAATAAGGTAAATAGGGTCAGGTCATAGAGGTTCCGGTTCAGGAGAGAAGCCGAGGTTCAGGAAAGAGCTACTTTTCTTTTCTTTTACCTCCTTCAATCCAGGTCAAAGCCTCAAAGTCAAAAGCAGGATTACTTCTATCGTGTAAACTCCATTGTGCAAGAAATGGGGAGCTCAGTTTCGTTGTAGGACATTAATCAGGTAAAAACCTTCTTGAAATTTTTTTAGAACTTTTTAAAATAGTGGAAGGATATTAATGAAAGTTTTTAATATTTAAAGGTATCTTTTAAATAACTATTTAAATATATTTTAAAAGTAAATATTAACCATTTTTATAAATAATAATAATAAATAAATAAATAACTGGATGTTAGATTTTTTATTATTATTTTTTTTTTTTTTTAGTGGGTAAGGATATTATTAAAATTTTGAAAATTTTAAAATAATTTATTTTATTAATTTAGTTTAAATAATAATAAATAAATAAAAAGTAAAAAGAAAGCCAAGAAATTCTTTTCCCCAGCTTTCTGAATGCTTTCTGCACTGCCATCGCCTCAAAGAACTCTTCGTCCTCTTCGTCTTTCCGATCACTGTTTTACATCTCTAAGGTGATCCTTAACTCTCTGATTATTCTTATCTTTTCAATTCCTCATGTTTCTAAGATCGTCGTTTTGAACTGAATTCTCTGAATTTTACCTTTTCAATCATTCGCCTGGCGGCTGTCTCAGGTTTGCGTGATTCGATTGTTATCTTCTAAAGTATGATCGCCGATTTAGTTATTAATATAACGTATTTGTTTTGTTGGATTAGCGCATTGATTTCTATCTCTTGGTTGATCTGGTCGGTCCATTTTACGTTCATTTCTAGTTTTCTTGTGTTGGATCCGGAATGAGATCGACTATAACAGAAGGAAAATGGACATGAATTTGAAAATTTTGAGTGATTGGTTTGCTCTTGCACAGTTGAGCTGAGATCAAGTGATGAGTGATTTTGTCCCTAGGTTTTATGCACTTCGATTTCCGTTCTCTCAGTTTACAAATATAATTGTGGAGATTTCCTTCAGGTTTTTCTGCAAAATGGCACGATCGGCCCTTGATGAAATGTCTACAACTGGCGCTTTTGTAAGAACAGCTTCAACATTTCGCAATTTGATTTCACGAGATCAATCCTCCCAATTTCCAGCAGAATCAGGGAGATATCATCTTTACATTTCATATGCTTGTCCTTGGGCTTCCAGATGCCTTGCATATTTGAAGATCAAAGGACTCGAAAAGGCGATCAGTTTCTCGGTAGATATTTTATCTCCATAGCTAAATGAATCCATGATGTTTTTTACTGAAAAACAATATTGCTCTTCTTTGCCTCAAACTGTTTCTTGCTCAGTCAGTCAAACCAATTTGGGAAAGAACCAAGGACACTGATGATCATAGGGGATGGGTTTTTCCTGGTTCTGATACAGAGGAGCCTGGGGCTGAACCTGACCATTTGAATGGAGCTAAAAGTGTAAGAGATCTGTATGAACTTGCTAGTTCAAATTACACTGGAAAGTACACAGTTCCTGTAAGTTTCAGCCATGGCTATGAATGTAATTTGAGCTTATAAGTAGATGTTTTAATGTTATGCAGTCCTCTTAGTGTGTTCTTCGTGACAGGTTCTATGGGACAAGAAACTGAAAACCATTGTTAACAATGAGAGCTCAGAGATAATTCGTATGCTTAATACTGAATTCAATGATATAGCAGAGAATCCAGCTCTAGATCTGTATCCTCCTCACTTGCAAGCCCAAATTGACGAGACTAATGGATGGATATACGACGCCATTAACAACGGTGTCTATAAGTGTGGTTTTGCAAGGATGCAACAGCCCTATGACCAGGTAAGCAATTCAGTATAGCAGCTGACAATTTAGAGTGTAAAAATAAAATCTGATTTTCTGTAAACCCAATCAATCTTGGACAACAAAGCATTCTTTATAAGGTTGGACTGAAGGAGTAGATTGTGAGATCCCACATCAGTTGGAGAGGAGAACGAAGCATTCTTTATAAGGTTGGGCCCCGAAGGGGGGCGGATTGTGAGATCCCACGTCATTTAGAGAAGAGAACGAAGCATTCTTTATAAGGGTGTGGAAACCTCTCCCTTCCCAACATGTTTTAAAAACCTTGAGGGGAAGCCCGAAAGAGAATGTCCAAAGAGGACTAGTAAGATTGTTCTAGTTTAAATAAGTTGTGATTGAATTGATACAATGCAAATATATTAATTTTTCTTATGATAGTTACTTATGCATTTCTTGTAGATACTTTTGTACTCCGAAACATACCCAACGATTAGTTGATTCAAGTCTTATTTTAGTTATAATGAGTTATATAGAGCAGCTACTTGGAACCATTTAAGTTGGTCGAATTTACAAGTCAAATACTTATTTTGAATTGAAAATGTCCCCTGATTGAATCCAACCCGGAGGATGAACACCCTTACTAAAATCCAAAATCTTTATATACTGATGAAACATCCTTCTACAGGCTGTGAAAGAGTTGTATGAAGCTCTGGACAGATGTGAGGACATACTTTCCAAGCAACGTTACCTCTGTGGGAACACACTGTCCGAAGCAGACGTTCGGCTGTTTGTCACCATCATAAGATTTGACGAGGTAATGACATCAACCGAACCTGTTTAATTTTTCGACTTCACTGATCAATATTTCTTTCTTTTTGGTTTAGGTTTATGCAGTTCACTTCAAATGTAATAAGAAACTGCTACGAGAGTATCCAAATCTGTTCAATTACACCAAGGATATATACCAAACTAAAGGGGTAAGCAGCTCTGTTCATATGGAACACATAAAGAAGCATTATTATGGAAGCCATCCTCAAATCAATCCATTTGGCATCATTCCTCTTGGCCCCAATATTGATTATACTTCTCCTCATGATAGGCATAGATTTTCCTCATAGTTTTGCATTGTAAATGCTATCTGTCACAAAAAAATTGTGTGCTTGTATTTTATGGTAGAGATTAAACATAAAAGATAGGTACGTTTCGAGTTCTACGTTTTTTGATAATACGACATCACACGTAAGACGAAAGGTTTGAGCTTACAATCTCGTAGAAGAAGTAGAAATGGTTTAGCCACTACGAGTTTTGTTGTGTCAACTCTTATGAAAAGGTTTGGTGTGCTTGTGTTTGTTAGTTTGTAACTTGGTTTTTGTCTAAGTTGAACTTATTTGAAATTCAATAAAATTACATTTGAATTGTTGTCCTTAAATTATTTCTTTTTCAATGCATATTCGCTAATTGTGTTTTTAATATGCTACTAACATATAACCCAAATAATTTTAATTTTTATAAAAGAATTATGTTTATCAGATTGGTTATGTCCAGAATTCAGAATCTAGGTTCGGCACCTTTCAGAATCTAGATTCAACACCTTTCAAAACCTAGGTTCGGCACCCAATAGCCTTTATAATCTCCTGTAACATAGTCATATTACATGTTTTTCATTTCTTAATAAGAAATCACCGTTTTTTTTGTTCTATGATTGAGTCACTACACATTTTGTTTTTGTTTATATAAAGATAACTTTCAATTTTTCTAAGTTTTTCTCATATCCTCAAGATCGCTATTATTCAGACGTGATCTTTGGTTCATTCATGTACCTCTCATTTACTCGGATATCACAATGTGGTTGCTCATCTAAGTCCTTCAGTCCGGTAAGTTTAATTCTTATTGATATTTTTTTAATGTCAAGGATTAATGTAGGATTTTAATTATTAAAAAAAAAAAAAAAACAATTAAAAACATGTTTTCAAATAATTTTTGTTCCGCAACAAAACTTTCAAACAGATCAGCCAAATCAAAAGAAAAGAAATTGAATTTTGAAGCAAATATGATCCATAATAAATATAGTTCCTTGTCAATAAATTTCATAATAATCTTATATGGATGGATAAAACCTATGGGACTAATTGTAACCCAGAAATCAAGAACAAATTTTAATTTTCTGAAAATCATGTAACCAAATTTGTAAGTTAGCGTCGAATTGCAGCAACAACTCAACTTCTGATCGATTTACATCTATAATTACGTCAATTACATTATTATGAACATCAAAAGAACATTATTACGATCTACAAAATCTCAATTCAAAAAGCTTCGTCGATTCCCGTTTCAATCTCCCACGGCGTTCAATTCAGGGATCTAGGATGATTTCACAATTGGAGAGAAGAGAGACATAAAGAGAACGAAAACTTAGCTTGCTCGCATTGCGATCTCTTCAGAGCGGTTCCGCCGCTGGAGCAGAGAGTTCGCACCGCCTCCGCCTCGTTAGGGCACACCGTCGCCACCAAGCACTCTGCAAAAGATCGGTTCAGATGCCAGCAGCCCGACCGCCGCGCCGGACCTTCTGGTAGTCGCTTGTGGCAATCTCGGAGAGCCTGCTCCAGCCGCTCGCAGCCGCCGTCACCGCCGATCGGAGCTTTGCCGGTTGGTACCATCTCTATTTCCCTTTGTAGGGCCCCACACCATTTGAGAGGGAAGAGAAAAGGGTTCTGCAAAATTAGTTAGGGTATAAAATGAGCCCTCCTTTTCAGGAAAAATAAAATATGGCCACAAATTTCCTAAATTACCCCTATTTTTATTTATTTATAAATTAGCTATTAATATTTTAAATATTAATTTTATATTTTAAGCAATTGAAATTAGAATTAAAAATTTTAAAAAACTATTAATCCATTTAAAAATTAACTAAAATATTAAAGACGATTTGATACATTTATCAAGCCAAAGTTTCAATGATCGGGTTTGTATTTTTTAGCTTTGTTCGAGTGTGAGAAAATTTAAAATCTCGAAATTTTTTAATTTGGATTTTTAAATTAAAACACGTAGAGAACAACAAATTTAAATTTGGAAATATAGACATCTATCAATATTGATATCGATGTTGGCATCGACTCCGACACTGACATCTCATCTCGACATTTTAAATTCTTCAACTTTATTTGACATGTGAAATACAATTAATAAAAATAAATTGTCCAAATACAAAGTATCAAAGAGATATATCTTAATTAATTAATATGGTTTCTCTTTTCATTTTTTTTAAAAAATATAAAACAATAAACTTAGATTACAAGTTTAGTTTCTAAACCGATGTGTTTATCGAGGATAAGACATGACTTTTACGACACAAAATTCAAATCGTATTCAAACATAATTTAGACGGACCTTATAAGCCTAAAGGTTTAGAATTTACGAGCTAATTTGATTTGTGGAGTGTGGTTGCTACTACAAAGCTGAGACAATTGAGACCAGACATGCATGGTGTAATTGTGTGAAAACAACTTCTATAGAGAGAAAAGACCGCATTGACTTCCATTTCATATATCTCGTATTTTTTCGTTAGATGTAAAAGCTAATCAAGAGTAATTGAAGAACGGGTTCAGGTTCAAACATCTTAAACATGAATCTAATGTCAAATAAGCACGGGAGAGGTAAGGAGGATTATATTGTGTAACAGTCTAAGCCTACCACTAGTTGATATTGTCCTCACAAGGATTTCTCTTTAGGGCTTCCCCTCAAGGTTTTTTAACGTGTCTGATGGAAGTTTCCACTCTTATAAGGAATGATTTGTTCTCCTCTACAATCAATATGAAACTTATTCCCAGCATTTGTTTAAGAGATGTGGAAACTATTTCAGAGTAATTCAAGCAAGAACGAGTTCAAACTTAGTAATTTTAAACTTTAATTTAGTACCAATGAAATTGGATAGAATTAACAAATGATTTATATAGATTTCCAAACATGAAAATTAGAAATTGAAGCACGAGTTTAGTTTCTGACGTCTTAAACTTGAATTTAGTATCAAATAAGCTCGAAAGGTTTATGTACGATATTGACTTCAATTTCATACGTCTCACGCTTTATCCAAAGACGTGAAAACTATTGAAGGACTATTAAAACATGGGTTCAGGTTTAGATTCAGGTTCATACATCTTAAAGGATTTAGTAGCAAAGAAGCAAGATTAGGCTGGAAATCATCCATCGAAACAAATAGCTTAACTACCTTCTCAAATATACATTTGAATCCACCAATAATCACTTTAGACCCACCTACCGAATAAACCGTAATAACTCAAATCCACCACTAGCAGCATATATGTTGTCTTCTTTGGACTTTCTTTTTCGAGTTTTTCTCAAAGTTTTTAAAACGTGTCTGCTAAAGAGAGATTTCCACACCAATGCTTCGTTTTCCTCTCCAACCGACGTGAGATCTCATATAAAGTATAAACAAAGAATGAATGTATAGAATTAGGTTTATAAATGGGAATGAATAGAACATGATGTGTACCTGAAATGAAGAAAGTGTTGTAAATGAAAACCCTAAGCTGATGAATTTGTTGGTGAATGAGTGATTGAAGCTGCAAGATGATCTGAACCCTTAACACCCATTTCCTTCAGATCATGCTGGCAGCTTCAGCCTCTCAAACCAACATAGTAATCCCCGAAATCTCAAACATCGAACACAGACAGACACAGAGAGAGAGAGAGAGAGATTTGTATTGACAACAGTGGAGTTTCAGATCCAAAAGGCCAACCCTTTTAAGGATTTTGAGAGACACAGAAATGAATGGTCTGTGTTTTTGGTCCTTTTACACCTATTCATACCTTTTATTACCTTTTTTTTTTTCTCCGGTATAGAAACTTTGAATCTTCGTTATTATGTTTATTCTTTTGTTATCGACGTTATTAATTGTATTTCCTATGTTTGGAGGTTGATGGGTTAGGTCGGGAAAATCTTTTGCACCAATCCAAAATTTCTAGTTGGTTGAGTTAGTAATCCGACCAACCCGAATATAGTTTATAATCCAACCTTCTATTTTCAGTTCCAGTTAGATTAAGTTGTCGGGTTTTCCATGTCACAAAACATCAGTAACATTAGTAACAAATACCAAATATTCTTAATCTCCATATTAAAAGTAGAGTAAAGTGGTTGTTACCCTATTTTTAAGTTAGTCAAATTGACTAGACCAGCTAACCCTACCTCAATTTAAAAAATTCAATAAAACCCAAATCGAACTAAATCTAACCCAATTCAATCTTTTTGGTTCGTGTTAGGTAGATCGGGTCAATTGGGTTATCGGGTCAATGAACACCTTAAAAAACCCATTTTCTTTTTATATATATAAAAAAAAAACATGAAAAAATAATAGTCCATTCATCAACGATTAATGTTTTCTAGTTATTACTCAAAATAATACACATCATAAATCCTCCCCAACGACCTTACTATTTCAATATATTTATGAACAAATATTTAGAATAATAATTAAAAAATAATAAAAAAAAAAAAAGCTAGCTAGGTTTGTCTTTATTTCATTAACTCCATCCATAATTTTGACATAATTGTATCCATTTTTGGTGGGAGAGCTTATTATAAAGATTTATTTTGATATCAATCAATTAATATATGGTGGGGGCATCAATCCCTAAATAAAAAACATTATATCATAATGTAATTAAAAATATTGAAGATTATATTATACAAAAAATAATAATAATTAGAATGGGGATTGGCATGTGCAATAGGGCAGGTGCCCTAAACTTTGTCCTTAGCGTTGGAGGTTCCTCTGACTTTTTAGGGCACTGCCCTTAATTAGGTTTAGAAATGCAATGGTGTGGAAGGACCACAATGCAATTAATTTTATTCGTTTCTAAGTTATCAAATTCATTAAATTTGATTGCATTGTCACATGGTTTTGCTTTTTTTTTTTTTTTTTTTTTAACTTTATCTCTTTAGAGTTTTTGTATGATGTTGATTCCATTAAGGGAAAGGTCCATGTGTGGTTGTGAATGTTTTTTTAACTAATCCATTGTCTTATTTATGTTTGTCATTAAGTTTAATTTACTAAATTATGTTTTACTCGATTGAAATCTTAATTGTGATATCACACGCCTACTGATCAAGATCGTTACTTACATACGAGACTTCGGGTACCCTTTAAAAACAACTTTTGGAAGAACATAATATTGAGAAAATGGGGAGTTGGACTCCATAGTAAAAGGGAGGTTCATTGATCTTCCTTTCATCCCACTCGAGCAGTTCAAAGCTAGTCAGAGAACACATTTTCTCACGGTTCTAAGTCGACATTTCGACTTATCCAATTTGGGTCTGATACGTTTGGACCCTTCTCAAATAATTTCAACTCTTCGAAAACATTGTAAGGTTAGTATGACTACCTTTTAACTAATGCAAAATTAGGTAAGTTA